TCCCTCTCCCTCTCCCTCTCCTTCCATCCCTCCCTCTCTTCCTCCCTTCCTCTTCTTCTCTCACCTTCTGCCTCCCACCCTCTCTCTTCTTTCTTCCCTCTCTTTCTCCCACTCTTTCTCCCTCTCCCTCTCCTTCCATCCTTCCCTCTCTTCCTCCCTTCCCCTCTCCCTCCCTCCCTCTCTTTTTCCCTCATGATCTCCCTCCCTATTCTTATCTCACCTTCTGCCTCCCACCCTCTCTCTCTTCTTCCTTCCCTCTCTTCTTCCCTCTCCCACTCCCTTCCTCTTCCCCCACTCTCTCCCCCCTTCTCTCCCTCCCTCTTTTCCTCTTCCTTCCTCCCTCTCTTCCACCTTCATCCTCCCTCCCTTTCTTCCCACTCACTCTCTCCCTCCCTCCCTCTTCTTCTCTCACCTTCTGCCTCCCACCCTCTCTCTCTCTTCTTCCTTCTCTCTCTTCCTCCATCTCCTTCCCTCTCTCCCCTCTCTTTGTCTCTCCCCCCCCTCATGTTTGCCTTTCCCACTAAGTCTCCCTGCAAGGAAGGTTTACAACCGAGCAAACAAAGCCACATACACACTGCAGCCATTTTTGCCTGTAGCTGGTGTCTGACTTGTCCGTGTTTGTGTGCATCCATGCATGCACATGTGTTGGTGAGAGACAGCCCAAGAGGGAAACTGTAGCTAAGACAAATATTTTTTTATAAAAAAAAAAAACCAATCAAAATATATTGATAAGAGTGTCAGCCATGCGCGGATTAAGCGTGACCTTGTCTTTAAACAGACTCCAGATGGACTTACACTGTTTGATAAATTCCAGTGGCATTGTTTCTCTCGGGAAAACAATTGTTGGACATTGGCATAAGGAATAGTGGAAAGGATGCAGCAGATGCACTAAAATAGTGACATAAATGGAACAGCACCTTACATCATCTTCCTCATCTTCCAAGCTTTATTTTTCACAACAGCAGGTGGAAAAAAAGGAATTTATTCATCCATCCATCCATCCATTCTTTATGAAATTTATTTGCCACTCAACATAATTTATTTGCTTACAACATAAAACCTAAAGCATTAAAAAACATTAAACATTAAAAAAAAACATTTAAATCCTCCATCAAAAAACCCACAGCCAATTAAAAAAACCCTCGCTGTCTCCCAGGTTCTAGTCTAGGGCTATTAACCATTACACCAAGCTGCTTCTCTAAATCCGGGCCAATCCCTGTTCAAAAAAACAAACAAGCTTGTGGGACTCAGACCTAAAGCACAAACGTAGTTAGCTCAAAACCTCTTGAGACGACCTCAAGCAGGACACAGATCAAGGCTTTCTCCCTTTGTTGTTCCCCAGCAGTACATAATCATAATCTTAGACCCTTCTGCAATGGAGATGATGCAGAACTTCCCAAGGTAGATTACGTTCCTCTTCGTGTGTTTCTAAATGACATTTTTCGAAGGTATCCGAAGCTCTTCATTTGGATTTTGGCCCCTATGATATCTCTATCACATCTTTCGTGGCCTTTAATTGCCATCTAAAACTTTCCTGTGTAATCAATCATCTGGTTCATATTACCATATGTGGTGGACATGCCCAAAGCAAGAAAATACCAGAGGAAAATATACAGGTGGCTCAGGAGTGAAATGCTCCCTGTTCAAACCGGATCACGCAATCCGGTAGCGATGGTGGCGGGTGGTTCGGAGAACCGGTAGCAAAAATCCCTGCGCGCCCCTCCTCCCATGCCCAGCTGAGCTGCAAGATCATCAGAGGCTTTTTTTTTAAAACTTTTAAAAGCATTTTTTCTACAACCTCTTCCGACGAAAAAATGCTTTTAAAAGTTAAAAAAAAAAAGCCTCTGATTGCACGGATCAGCTGGGATAGTCAGAGGCTTTTCAAAGCATTTTTTTTTTGCAACCTCTTAGCCGAAGAGGTGGTAAAAAAAATGCTTTGAAAAGTCTCTGATGAACCCTGAAATAAGCACTTGGCCTTATTGCCATGCGCTCAAAAGCCTGATTTTGGCTTATTCTCAGGGGATGTCTTATTTTGGGGGAAACAGAGTATATTTTTCATATGATGGAGATGGATTATTGCAACAAAGATGTGTAATATGACTATCTAAACATAACTATACCCAGAACACACACTGTTTGATGAAAATTGAATGTCATATAAATAAAACAAATAAAACATTTTTTAAAAAAAACTTTCCTTAGCCCCTCCCAAAAGACGGGAGTTGCAACTGCCTCTTATTTCAGGAAGGTAGAGTTGTCAACATTTTTTAATTAGTCTAGGTTTTGCATCTTGTGCTGGTGAATTTTTACAAAGTCTATTCCTCCCCGCCCACCCAAAAAGAAAGAAAGAAAGAAAGAAAGAAAGAAAGAAAGAAAGAAAGAAAGAAAGAAAGGCTAATGCCATTGTTATCTCTTTTATACTGTCAGGAATTTATGGTTAGCTGTTGCCTCTCATTGAATTCGTCTGCAGAGAGTCCTGATTTACCAGAGTCAAACTGAGATTATTCCTTCAAGGTAGAAAGAGAAAAAAAAATAACCTTAAAAGAAGCAAAGCACTCTTACGGGTAGATCAAGGAGTGTAGCAGGTTGGGGGTACTTAACTTCTTTCTCGCCAATGCATAATCCTTGGAGAAGATTGCATGGTCGCTTTTACAAAACAGCTGGCATTTATTTACTAACCCCGTGGCTGAATAGGTAAATAAAGTGATGGGGTGTCTCTGTGGCTAGGATAAGAGTAAAGTACATGCACCAAAAATTGAAACAATTATTCCCTACCATCTTCTGGATGGAAGTCTAGTCCCTAAGATGCTGGATGTCAACCCATAAAGCATTCCAGGCCTGCTTCTGAGTTGCCATAAGCAGGACGGGGGAAGAACTGACTAGGAGAACTCCTAGCCTGGCTAGGTGGCTCACTGGCTAAGACGCTGAGCTTGTCGATCAGAAAGGTTGGCAGTTCGGCGGTTCGAATCCCTAGTACAGGTCTCCTGCATAAGCAGGGGATTGGACTAGATGACCTCCAAGGTCCCTTCCAACGCTGTTACTGTTAAGCTTAAAGCACATGCCACACATGCCTGTCTCCAGATTGTATCCCAGGTTACTGGAGCCATCATGAGGGGTGGGGTTTCTACAGCCCATGAACATACTCCATTGGAGAATGTGATTTATGACACACCCAGGGAGGAAGGGAGAAACAGGATCATAAAGGTAAAGGTTCCCCTGGCACATACGTGCTAGTCGTTCCCGACTCTAGGGGGCAGTGCTCATCTCCGTTTCAAAGCCGAAGAGCCAGCGCTGTCTGAAAACATCTCCATGGTCATGTGGCCAGCATGACTAAATGCTAAAGGTACACGGAACGCTGTTCCCTTCCCACCAAAGGTGGTCCCTATTTTTCTACTTGCATCTTTTATGTGCTTTCGAATGGCTAGGCTGAGAGAAGCTGGGACAAGTAACGGGAGCTCAACCCGTTATACATCACTAGGGATTCGAACTGCTGAACTGCTGACCTTTTGATCGACAAGGTCAGCGTCTTAGCCACTGAGCCACCATGTCCCTATCAACTGTGCTATTTATTCCATGCCAAAGAGAGGTTCCAAGGAATTTACATGGCTGAGCGGCAGGTTTCTTGCTGTTACCTGAATTACAGGTTATCCAAGTGCCAAGAATGAGAGCTCTACTTTTTTACTGAAAATGTTGTCCAACCACCTGCAGGCTCTGTTGTTTATCAAGGCTCAATTAAATTCCCAAGGAGCTATCAAGAGGATTAAAAAAAAAAAAGGTAAATTTTTCTTTTGCCCGGTCGTGTCTGAGTCTAGCAACGAAATGGAGATAGACATCTCCGTTTCATAGCCGAGGGAGCCAGCATTGTCCGAAGACATTTTTTTTGTGGTCATGTGGCCAGCATGGCTACATGCCAAAGGCACATGGTTACCTTCTCCCACCAAAGTAGTACCTGTTCATTTACTTGCATTTGCATGCTTTCGAATTGCTAGGTGGGCAGGAGCTGGGGCAAGGAACAGGATCTCACCCTGTCACATGATGCTTGGGTCTTGAACTGCCAACCTTCCAGTCAACAAGCCCAGTGTCAAGTTTCTGAAGGATGCCCTAATTAATTCATGAGCCTCAAGCCAAGTTTCAAAAGAAATCCAGTTATTTATTAGGAGCAAATTTCGGCAATTACTCAAGTGGAGTCAGTTCTGCCTCCACGTAATTATGAATGTGGTGGCTCAGTGGCTAAGACACTTTTTTTTTTTTTTATCCTCTTGATAGCTCCTTGGGAATTTAATTGAGCCTTGATAAACAACAGAGCCTGCAGGTGGTTGGACAACATTTTCAGTAAAAAAGTAGAGCTCTCATTCTTGGCACTTGGATAACCTGTAATTCAGGTAACAGCAAGAAACCTGCCGCTCAGCCATGTAAATTCCTTGGAACCTCTCTTTGGCATGGAATAAATAGCACAGTTGATAGGGACGTGGTGGCTCAGTGGCTAAGACGCTGAGCTTGTCGATCGAAAGGTCGGCAGTTCAGCGGTTCGAATCCCTAGTGACGCATAACGGGTTGAGCTCCCGTTATTCGTCCCAGCTTCTGCCAACCTAGCCGTTTGAAAGCACATTAAAAAATGCAAGAAAAATAGGGACCACCTTTGGTGGGAAGGTAACAGCGTTTCGTGCACCTTTAGCATTTAGTCATGCCAGCCACATGACCACAGAGACAAACTTTGTTCTTAACTCTTATTTTAACTTTGTTGTATCTCTGCTTTTATACCACTTTTTATTGCATTGTATTGCGAACGGCCAACTTAGGAGAGATGGGCGGTGTCGAAATGAGATAAATAGATAGATTTATTTCTCCATTAGCAGATTGAATCAGATTGGGGCACTTCGATGGATTGTCATCTGAAGCTGAGTAACGTGCTATTTTTCAAGGAGCAGCTAATCTAACTGAACAAAGTAGATTTCTGTGGACGTTTTAAGAACTCTTCCCCTCCCTCTTCTCTTTTACAGGATTGCACAGTGTATGAAACAGAAAATAAAATTCTTCATGTGGTAAGTGCCCGTTGTAGCTAGGGGAGGGGGGTGCGCCTGATGCTTTCGTGCAGTCTACTTCATTGGAAATCATTATTTTGCAAATCAAGACTGTACTGCTGTATATGTTTGCCTTCAAGGAAGACATGCCGAATGCAGGGGATTGATTGCTGGCTTAATGTGATTTAAAAGAGATTTAAGGTGCTTCTCTGATGTGGAAGCCCCATTAGAAATGCAGTTATTTAGCCAAAAACGATGGTAGCGATTCCTCTCACATTTTATCTATTTCGTTTTACTTAGAATAATTTCGCCTGAGGTTGCTATCCAAACAATCAAGGCAGCTAACTCAAATAGGTGACTGATGCAAACGTACATCAGTCATGAATTTGGTCTTCAAAATCCATCTCGCTTGAGAAGTGGACATTCTGGAGGGAGAAGAGGGAGAGGAGAGGAGAGGGGAGAGAGGAAGAAGAGAAAGAGGGAGATGAGAGGAGGAAGGAGGAGAGGGGGAAGGAGAGGAGAGGGGAGAGAGGAAGAGGGAGAGGAGGGGGGAAGGAGAGCAGAGCAGAGAGGAAGGAGAGGGAGAGGAGAGGGGAGAGAGGAAGGAGAGGAAGATGAGAGAAGGAGAGGGAGGAGGGGAGGGGGAGAGGAAGGAGAGGGAGAGGGAGGGGGAGAGGAAGGAGAGGGAGAGGAGAGGGGGAAGGGGGAGAGGGGAGGAAGGAGAGGGAGAGGGAGGGGAGAGGAGTCCAACTCTGGGGTGAAGCAGAGATACTGCCCTATTCACAGAAAGCTACCAAAGGAACTGGCTTGTTTTCAGGATGCTGGTGTCTCTTTTTCTGCCTAAGGACCAGGGAAGATGCTGGCAGATATGGCTGAAAGAACTGTGTATATCTAGTTTTGAGGAAGTCATTGACTGTGTTGGCAATTGGAAATATCTCAGAATTCTTTTGAGCAAGGGAAGAAAACCGATGAGAATTTAAGAGCTGTAATTTCCTTTATGGGGAAATGATGGCCATTTCTGAAAGAAGATGAGAGCATACCAAACAGGGAAGAAAATATGTACTCCCTTTATATTCTTCTATTCATAGTAATACAAATATATCTAGTACAAAAGTGGGCAACATTTGATGCAACTAAAATGCCTTATCAATAGCTAATTTCACTTTGTGAACACTCAGATTATGAATCTGTACTGACTGCCAAAATGTTCCAAAAGAATTATTCTAATCCTTCCACTATTTATAGATTTAAAAAAAAAAATGTGCAGAGGCAATCATGTTAATTATGATGGCATTTACATGTCCAAAATTCATTGCGGGCCCTTTGTTTAATTAAAGATTATCATTGCAAATATTGGTAGACATTTATCACACCTGGAATGTCACTGATCAATAGTAACCAGAGTTTAATTTTTCTACAAAAGGGTCAGTGATTGGCATTTTTTTTTAAAAAAAAAGGATGCTTCTTACTTAGACTGAATTTATCAAAATGCTATGTGTTATATGAATATGAACCTAGTGATATCGATGTCCCTTCTATAATCTCATTATTTTATGCTTCTCGGACTTCCCTCCTTGTGGTTTAGACTGGAAAGAGTTAATTTAGGTAACAAGAATCTCAGGACTATCATTAATATATTAAAAGAAAGCTTAAGGTTATGCTACAATAATAATAATAATAATAATTTTATTTCTATACCGCCCTTCTCCCGAAGGACTCAGGGCGGTGTACAGCCTATTAAAAACACAAAACAACATCAGTTAAAATAGTTTAAAATTATTAAATAAATTCGGCTGAATTTTAAAACCCCAGAATTTTAAAACCCAATTTAAAATTTAAAATTTTAAAATTTAAAATACAAGAATCCCAGCAAGTATTTCTGTTTACAAATGCGACCACTGTATACAGTAGTGGCCAAAATTGTGGAAACCTTTTAGGAAAAGTGTATTTTCTAAAACTAGCTAATAACACCACTTTTTTTGGAGGAGTAGTACTATAAAATTATACATCAATGGAAAGAGTTTAATCAAGAATGTAATGCAATAACTTTTATGAAGGATTTGCTATTAGAATAGCAGTTACAGTATAAAGAAGAAAAGTGAAACACGAGAGATACAAAAATGATCACCATAGAAAAAATGAGATATACAAAAATGATCGCCATGTCAGTTAATACTTAGTTGGGTAACCTTTAGCATGAATTACGGCCTTACAACGTCTTCCCATGGAGTGAACCAAGTCTTTGAGTTCTGCAACTGTTCTAATGTGAATCAAGATTGATTGATGGCTTCTATTAACTGGGTTTTATTGCTGGGTCGCTTCTGACTAACAAGTTTCTTTAGTCGGTTCCATAGATTTTCAGTTGGGTGAAGGGCTGGGCCATTCCCAGGCCATTCCAGCAGTGGAATAGGATTATCTTGAAACTCCAAAAAAAAAAAAAGTGATGTTATTAGCCATCAAACCCAAAAATACACTTTTCCCAAAAGGTTTCCACAATTCTGGCCACTACTGTATATGCAATTTAGGGCAGCAGAACCTTTTGTCTGTTTCTTTCTTATCTTTAGATTGAATAGAATAGAATTCTTTATTGGCCAAGGGTGATTGGACACCCAAGGAATTTGTCTTGGTGCATACGCTCTCAGTGTACATAAAAGAAAAGATACGTTCATCAAGAATCATAAGGTACAACACTTAATGATAGTCATAGGGGTAGAAGCTTATCTGTTTTCTGAAGGCAGATAGCTAGCATCAATTTTCTACTTTAATAACCGTCAGCCCTTTTATCAGAGTGAAGCATAACCCTTTCATCGGTGTTGTATATTCCATTTTAATTTTTTTTTAATCATTATATCAAGGTACTGTAGGACTGGGTGATTTGGGGGTGCTGATGAGACTTCAGAACGTAGAGTTGTCATTTGCAGGCTGATCCTAAACTGCCCCCAATGTGGACAATGTAAATGTTATGCAGTGGTGGGATACAGCCAGTTCGCACCTATTTGGGAGAACCGGTTGTTAACTTTCTAAGCAGTTTGGAGAACTGGTTGTTGGAAGAAATCTTATTTTGGGTTTTTTTCCCCTTGACAGGGCTAATCCTGTAAGGAAGGCAGGAAGGAAATGTTCTGGTGTTGTTTCTAGCCTAATCTTTATTGCCCTGCTTACAGAAACTGCCTCTTTGATTAACCCTTATTACATTGTAACAGCTAAGGCAAAGCACCCATCGACGTGAGTGACGTTGAGTAGGCCACACCCACATGGTCACATGACTACTGAGCCATGCCTACCCAGCTGGTCATTAGGGCAGAGAACCAGTTGTTAAATCATTTGAATCCCACCACTGATGTTATGTTAACAGAATAACTCCAACAGCCTAATCCTAGATATTACAACTCTCTCTTGTTTTTTTTTTTTTCATGGAAAGATATAAGAAGACCATAATACCTCAAAAAGTTGGTTTAGATTGCAAGGACAATGTGGTAGCAAAAGGAAATCAGAAAGTATGGTCATATTCTAGTTCAGGGGTCAGCAACCTGCGGCTCCGGAGCCACATGCGGCTCTTTGGACCCTCTGCTTTGGCTCCCTGTCGGGTGATCCCACCACTGGCTGGCCCCGCCCCCCACCCTCCCCTCCCAGTCAATCCTCGCCTGGCCTGAGAAGGTAAGGGCGACGGCGTGGGATGGAGAAGCAGCCGAGGGAGAGACAGAGAGAGGGTGAGAGAGACGTAGAGAGATACAGAGAGATACAGAGAGGGGGGAGGGAGGGAGGGAGGGAGGGAGGGGAGAGAGAGAGATGTTTTGTGGTTCCTGGTGTTTTTTAACAACTGGTTCTCTGCCCTAATGACTGGTTGGGTAGGCGTGGCTAGGGGGGTCATGTGACTGGTGGAAGTGAGTGACATCGAGTTGGCCACGCCCACCCAGGCTTTGTGGCTCCCGATGTTTTCTTTTCTGTGGGAAACGGGTCCAAATGGCTCTTTGAGTGCTTAAGGTTGCAGACCCCTGTTCTAGTTATATGAAGATATGAAAGCAATAAACTCAAGGCTAGCCTTAGATAATTTAAGCCTAATCTGCATATGGCCTGATTTTCTACCTTGCCAAATTGCACTGGGGGGGGGGAACCAACCCTTCTTCTCATTATGTATGAATTTTCCTGCCAAAATTTAACACCTAAAGTACCTTGGGTCAAAGGCTAATCTTTGAACGCCAAACTCTCGGAAAACAAATGAAGAGTGCAAAATGTTCGTGCTGAACAAGGCAGTTTTGTGCTGTTTGAAATGTCTGAGCGAGCGCAACATTCAAGGAAGGAAAAGGCGGAACAATGGGAAATGTCTAATGCATCCATTCAGCTTTGGACATATTGACTGATATGAGAAAAGGAAAGGCTTTTCTCAAACACTGGGAGAAACTGCTTGAGCAATAGAGCAGTTTGGTCACAGAACCTATTAGAACAATGATGCTTGTTGCTCTTTTGCTGCAAGTTTCCAGCCAGCAATGGATACCCATATTTGGGGAGAATAATAATACAGTATAGAACAGGGGTGTCAAACTTAAGACCGGTAGGCCGGATTCGGCCCATCGGGGTACTTAGATCTGGCCCGTGGGGCTGCCCTGGAAACAGCAAAGGACTGGCCCGTGGTTCCTCCGCCAGCAAAAACGGAGCTCGGGTGCCCCTCCCTCCGACCTCTCTTTTCATTGGAAGAAGGTTGCAGAAGACCATCGCGGTCGAAAACAGAGCTCGTGAGGGCCACATACGCCCCCCCTCCCCCGAGCTCCACTTTCACTGGTAGATGACTGCAGGAGGCTGCCGTGGTCCGAAAATGGATCCTAGATGGGCCGCGTGCACCCCCCCAGCTCCATTTTCTCTGGCAGAGGTCTTGCCTTCCTCTGCTGGAGACAATGGATCTCCCCAGCCTCACTTGGGTCACCAAAGGTGCCCTTGACATGAGTGATGTCCTCCCTGGCCATGCCCACCCCGGCCATGCCCTCTGCCCCCCCCCAAGGTCAAACACAACTCTGATGTGGCCCTCAATGAAATCGAGTTTGAGACCCCTGATATAGAAGAATGTTCTGGACATCTCTAGGTAGGCTGGTAAAAGTCCTGCTTAAATCCTGGAGACCCTCTAGTCAACCACTGTTCAAACATTGCTCTAAATTCTCATGGGATATCTGGCTTAACATGGTGTGTGAAAGCCGTCTGGTGGAACATGGGTATGGCTTCATGGGATGTATCAACCCAGCCCCACTGTAGCTTGCTCAGCACCAGCAACAATATGGAAATATGTCAATCCACTGTGATAGAACAGTGATGAGAACAAGGCAGCTTCTGATGTGGAACAGATAGTCCAAGAAAATGCTAGGTCCGTGATGGTGAACCTATGGCACGTGTGCCACAGGTGGCACGCGTAGCCATATCAGTGGGCAGGCGAGCTCAGCTCCGGCATGCATGCACGCACCGGCCAGCTGATTTTCGTGCCTTCTGGGCCCACCAGAAGTAGGGAAACAGTCTGTTTCCTGCCTCCGGAGGGCCTGGGGGATTGTTTGGGAAGGCCTGTTTTTCTCTCTCACCTGACTCCAGGGCCACTCTAGGAGCCTGGGGAGGGCAAAAACAGCCTCACCCACCCACCCTAGAGGTCCTCTGGAGGCCGAAAATGGCCCATTTGACAACTTCCAGTCCCACCGGAAGTTGGCAAACGGGCCGTTTCTGGCATTTGGAGGACCTCCCAGGGGGATAGAGAAGGCCAGACTCCTAGAAAGGCTTCTGGTCCCATCGGATTGTCAAACGGGCCATTTTTGGCCTCCAGAGGACCTCCGGGAGGGTGGGGAAGGCTGTTTTCGCCCTCCCCAGACTCCTAGAAAGGCTCTGGAGCCAGGTGAGAGAGAAAAACAGGCCTACTGGGCCATCGCATGCCAGGAGCAGGGGGAACGGGGGGTCGCACGGACATGCAGGGGCGGGACACATAGACCCCCCCGGCCCGCCCTCCTGGCATGCGATTGCAAAAAGGTTAGCCATCAGTGTGCTAGGTTATTCAATGCATAAAAATAAGGCTGAATCTGGACCAGCTCTTGAACAGGAGTACTATGGATAGGAGGAACATGCTGAGCTGGATAGTCTTTTAGCTTTATCCAGGATGGCAAAGATATTACATATAAGCCTTATTTTAGTTGTTCATTTCTTAAGCATCGTTCAGTAAGCCCTGTGAGAACTGCTCCTGGTGGTACCTGCTGGATGGCTCCTCACTTAAATGAGTCTTCTAGGAAAAATAAGAATGATGCGTCAATTAGCATACTAACAATGTTCAGCAACTTACCCCTAGCAACTAGGGATCCTGGATTGTACAAACCACAGCATGATTAGATAAATCTGATAAAGGCATTGGTGCTATCTTGCTCAAATCCTATTCAGAAAACACTGCAAAAGGTGTGGCTCATAAGCAGCTTTGGAAAGAACCCAAAAAACTGACTAGGCAAAAATATATAGACTTACTAATAAACAGAAGAAGGAAGCCCTCTTTCTACCTTTGGGCCTTCAGGCTTCAGGCCTGCCACAAATCCTACTGTGGGAAATGGGGAGGGGGGATTGCATAGAGGGAAGAAGATATGTAGTCATAATAAAATTCTTTCTAGAAAGTCAAGGCCATCGTGCCCTGCAACTGCGTTGAGAAGAATGAGGAGGTATCTTCTGTTCCGGACAGTATTTGATTGGATGTGTGGTGGACATGTGGGAGAGGGACAAAGTCTTAAACTTTCTTATGGGTGTGGAAAACCTGGAAGCTCTCAGATTCGGGTTTTCCCAGATGTCCCAATATAACATCTCTAATAAAAGCTTTGAGGAACTTCAAGCCTCAGAGTTTGATTTCGTTGGGGGTGTTACTTGGAACCCTGACAGATAGCTGATTATTTATACCGTGTTTCCCTGAAAATAAGACCGGGTTTTATATATTTTTTGCCACAAAAAAGGCACCAGGTCTTATTTTTGGGGGGAGTGATGTTGTCGGAAGCCTTCAGGAACGTCTGCTGCCAACAAAGCCTGCAAGGCTTTCCTGAAGGTCTCTCTAGCTGATAAATGTTATCGGCTGCAGAGGCCTTCAGGAAAGCCTTGCCGGCTGCAGAAGAAATGGGCCAGCAAGGCAGTGTCGGGGTATGCGAGGCCTGGCTGCAACTGTCCAAAGGCAAGTAGTACGACAGCTCCGTTCCCCCATCCCCACCCTAGCTTCATTTTTACCCGTGCACCCTGGAGTGGGCGGGGTCTTAATTAGGGCTTATTTTGAGGGTAGGTAGGGCTTATCTTGGATGCACGTGTAAAAAAATCAAGCTAGGGCTTACTTTCGGGGTAGGTCGTCTTTTCCGGAAAACATGGTAGATGCCACGAAAGGGTAGCAAACAGATGGTTTCATAATGCAATTTGAATCCCATTTTCTAAAGCTGGTTTCGTAAACCGATTGGCTGGATTAACCCATCAACCCAACCCAAAATTGCAATGGCTGGGTTTCCACATTGCACTCAGGGGTGGGGTGGGGGCACTGGTGGGATTCAGCCGGTTCGCACCACTTCGGGAGAACCGGTTGTTAACTTTCTGAGCAGTTTGGAAAACTGGTTGTTGGAAGAAATCATTAGGGCAGAGAACTGGTTGTTAAATTACTTGAATCCCACCACTGGGTGGGAGGGGAGGAGGAGACAAGCCAACCAAAACAAGAGGACCTTTCCATAATATCAAACTTGGTGCCCTGTTTCCCCCCAAATAAAGACATCCCCTGATAATAAGCCCAATGAGCTTTTAAGCACATGGCAATAAGGCCAAGCGCTTATTTCAGGGTTCAAAAAAAAAATATAAGACAGGGTCTTATTTTTGGGGAAACACAATAATAATTAGGGAAGTGGAGGGAAAAAAAATATTTGTGAATTTTTCTGGCTCAGCTAGATGCAATGCCAGGCAGATAATGTCTGAATGTGAGTCTTTGTGCTTCCATTACAATGTTTTGTGCTGAATTCTTTTTTTTTTCTCTCTCTCTCTCTCTTTCTCTCTCTTTTTCTCTCCTCCTTTCCCACAGTGTAAAACGCTGTCTGGTATCTGTGATCATATCATCTCTCTTTCATCAGATTCTCTGGTGTCTCAGTCAGCTCATCTTGAAGTTGTTCATCTTACAAGCATCATGCCCAGTGAAGGTTTGGTAAGCAGGAGCAAAGTAGAAGAACGCCAGATTTCCGAAAACAAATAAGATGATTAAAGGGGATATTGGCCGTACTATAGGTATCATGAAGTAGTTGCTTCAGGTGGTAGATCAGGAAAAGGAGCAAATGGAGGTCGAACTCAGACTCCAACAGCTCTAGGAATAGTTCTGCCCAATTCTAATGCCTTTATCTAAACCAGTGGCAACCTGAAGAAGATGTGTGGACTTCCACTCCCAGAATTCCTCAGCCAACATGTTAGCTGAGGAATTCTGGGAGTGGAAGTCCACCAGTGGTGGAATTCAAATTATTTTACTACTGGTTCTGTGGGCATGGCTTGGTGGGCGTGGTGTGGCTTGTTGAGTAGGGCAGCGGAAGGATACTGCAAAATCTCTATTCCCACCCCACTCCTGGGGGGAGGATATTGCAAAATCTCCATTCCCACCCCACTCCAGGGGAAGGATATTGCCAAATCCCCATTCCCTCCCCACTCCTGGGGGAAGGATATTGCAAAATCTCCATTCCCACCCCACTCTGGGGCCAGCCAGAGGTGGTATTTGCCGGTTCTCCGAACTACTCAAAATTTCCGCTACCGGTTCTCCAGAACCTGTCAGAGCCTCCTGAATAGCACCCCTGAAGTCAACACATCTTCAGATTGCCGTGGTTGAGAAACATGGGTTGGTGTATATTGGTGGTGCTGATGCTTCCAGTACTAAACTAGGGCAAAGTTCTAGAATGTTCATGAACATTCCATATTGTCAATGAAACATTCATTGTTTGGCTTCTGAAGGCTTTCACTGTTGTCATAGGATTCAAAATCAGATGGAAATCTAAATTTGAGAGAAAATTGAATCATGTGGAAGAGAAAGGACCTACATTTGTAGGTCAGTGAGTTGTGATTTTATAATGCTGTTCTGCCCAATTTCTGCCTATGTCTAGTTGTTTGTGTCTTGTGTTGCATAGAACATAAGACCCAGCCAAAGGGAGTAGTTGAATACTCATTGCAACTGAACAATCCCCAGTTTGGGGGGGGGGGAATCCAGAGGTAAAATGTAATCCTACAGTCATGGCCAAAATTGTGGAAACCTTTTGGGAAAAGTGTATTTTCTAAAACTAGCTAATAACACCACTTTTTTTTTTTTTGAGTAGTAGTACCATAGAATTATATATCAATGGAAAGATAATTTAATCAGCAATATAATGCAATAACTTTTATGAAGGATTTGCTATTAGAATGGCAGTTACTGTCAACTTGCAAAGCTTTCAAGTTGCCATGAGCAGGAGGGAGGGAGAAGTGATAGAGCTGATTGATTTCCCTAACTGAAGTGTATTCCATACATTCTTCCTGACTGCAGTCAGAAGGAGGGTGTTGGATTTCACAGCCAGCCATAGTGGTTAATTGGAGAATGTGATTTATGACATGGCCAGAGAGGAGGGGAGAGACAGGATCATAGGGGAACGTAAATCTACGTGGGATTAGTTCTAACTGCATCCAAATATTGCCGAAATGGTGCTCCTAATAAATGACTGTATTTCTTTTGAAGTTTGGCTCATGGCTCATGAATTCATTAGGGCATCTTTTGGAAACTTCACAGTTACAGTATAAAGAAGAAAAGGGAAACACGTAGAAAAAGCGAGATATACAAAAATGATCCCCATAGGAAAAAACAAGATATACAAAAATGATCACCATAGAAAAAAATGAGATACACAAAAATTATCACCATGTCAATTAATACTTAGTTGGGTAACCTTTAGCATGAATGGTGGCCTTACAACGTCTTCCCATGGAGCTAACCAAGTCTTTTAGTTCTGCAGCTGTTAGAATGTGAAATCAAGATTGAATGATGGCTTCTATTAACTGGGTTTTATTGCTTCTGACTAACAAGTTTCTTTAGTCGGCTCCATCGATTTTCAATTGGGTTAAGGTCTGGGCTATTCTCAGGCCATTCCAGCAGTGGAATAGGATTATCTAGAAACTCCCCCAAAAAAGTGGTGTTACTAGCCATCAAACCTCAAAAATACACTTTTCCCAAAAGGTTTCCATAATTTTGGCCACTACTGTAAATGTCACCTTTCAATTTCTTCTTTCTAGTTAATTCTTTATAGGCAAACTTTTGTTGTTGTGATTGTTCTTTTGCTGGCTGCTTTTGGCTCGAGAGAAAGCTAAAATACATACCATCAATCCAATTGCTGATATGCTTAATAATTAAATGCATATTTGGTCAATTCTGGGCTCTTCTTCTTGGTTATATCCAAAGAGCCAATCCAGTTCTGCTCCAACTACTTCCTTTCACTCATGTGAGATCCTAAACACAACACTTAGCAGGAGAAGATCTAACTCAACATTCCTTCTCCTGTCCTCTTCCCAAGTCTGTTATGTTTTGGGTTTTGTTTTTTACTAAAATTACCTAAGTTATTGAAAGCAGGGTCTTAATTCTGAGGTTAAAGCTGGCCAGATATAAATTGGGTTTTTTTTTTTTTATTTAGACAAGCTAAATCTAAAACCCACTTACTCAGAAATCCTTTTAGGTCCATCTCCCATTACTTTTCTTATTTCTTTGCCATAGCGATCTTCCTAATGATCTTTTCCATTGGGGGGGGAAATGTTAACATAAAAAGAAAACTACATTTCTCCAAGAGAAATTAACCCACCCATTGCCAAAACACCCAAGTAATTAAGTAAGCTCTTGTTCTGATCTAGGCTCCCTTAAAAAGCAAGAAGCAGAGTCTTGGTCCCCGCCAAACCTCTTTTATTTACACGACTGTGAATTACTTTCATTCACAGTCAGCAAGGCCTGTCCAAACAGTTTTTCAAAGGAATATTTATCAACGCACCTTATCTCACTTCACAAGCTGCCAGGTAACTAGTTTCCAAAAGCAGTACAAGGCAAAACTTGGCACAGAGTCTCTCAGAGTCACGGAATGAATGAATTGTTTCCTACAAAAGCCCATTCCCCGTTCCCCCTCTTTTGTTTCCTATGGGAGGGGCCAAGCACCTCCAAGTCGACCCTGCTTTCTGAGTTGTTTTTGTCTTCTGGCAGCTCTGCGCAAGAGCACACTGGAATGGGCTCCAGCTGTTCCTCTGCCTCACTGCTGTCTATCTCCCTCTCTGCCTCTGACGCAGAGCCCTCGTCCGAGCTTTCCCCAGCCCACAGGACTGGCCCATGTTCCTCCCCAACCTCCTCATTGTACAACTTTACTGCCAGTTCCACTGGCCACCGACAGGCCACAACATTATTCTGACCCTTGTAATAGTAGACCCACATGTTCTTCATGGCATAACCACTGAGCTGATGAATCTCCCTTGCTAACCTGTATCCCTTTCTGACTATTAAAAGAAGTGGATGATAATATCCTCTAACCTTAACAGGGCATGATATTTTGGTGGACAGATGGGACACACCTAGTGTATCAGGGAGGGAAGAATCAAGTGCAGAACTAGTCTAGAATCACTCACAACTCTAAAGGGCCAAAATCGACCCTTCTTGAATTTCTTGGAGCCTCATCTAATTGTTCCAAGGAAAAGCTGCCATATTGGAGAGATTCCTGTATTATAGGCAGACCATAATAAAGTAGTTAGCTTAAACTCTGCATACTGTATGTAGATCTGGTTATTCACGCCTGTCAGTTGTTGCCCAGAACAACAACAAAAAAGTATATAAGCATCACCGGGGGGAAATTATACAATGCTGTCTGAATATCTCTATTGTGTTCTGCCTTTACACTTCCTACAATACTTGGCAAAGTTTGAGAACTAGAGAATGTGTTGCTTTAGAGACTGTGGGAAACTTAAATATGTTAGACAAGTCCCCTCTTGCTGCAATCTAATAAGGGTTTCTCAGTGTAGGAGAAGAGAGAGGACACCCTCCCCAAAATCCTCAGATGTGAGGCTAGTAAAGGGCAGCCTCAGAGCCCACTGCCCCAAAGAAGAGGGGGTCAAGTTATTCTCCAAAGCACCAGAGGGCAGGTCAAGAAACAATGGTTGGAAACTAATCAAAGAGAGAAGCAACCTGGCATTAAGGAGAAACTTCCTAACAGTGAGGACAATTAACCAGTGGAACAGCTTGCCACCAGAAGTCATGGGTGCTCCATCACTGGAGGTTATTAAGAAGAGACTAGAGAGTCACTTATCTGAAATGGTATAAGTTCTCCTGCTTAAGTAGGGGGCTGGACTAGAAGACCTCCAAGGTTCCTTCCTACTCTACTCTACTCTACTCTACTCTACTCTACTCTACTCTACTCTACTCTACAATACACTACACTACACTACACTACACTAATTCTCTAATTCTAATTCTAATTCTAATTCTATTATTCTAGACCATCACATTGCCTTGTTTTTCTAACTAAGGACATACTCAAGAGATTGTAACTTGCCTATTTTTATGGGGAGAATCTCATCGCTGGTAAATTACAAAACCATGCTTTCAATTTCCGAAGGAACTCATCCCAATGGAGAACAAAAGGAACGGTAGAAGGAAATGTCTAGCACTGACATAGGCCCTTCGCATCTGAACTACAGGGGGGTAAAAATGCCTAAAGAAAAGGTTTTATTATAACTAATATTTGGGCAGTGCACAATTCTGCTAGGAATTTCTGTCACATCGGATGAAGCTAATCAGCCTGACAGTGCTCAACTTGAGCTACAAAGTGCTATAACTGTTGCTCTGGATTTTTTTTTTTTTTTCGGATACATTCCCCCAAGAAGTATTATTCTTCCTTTTGAGTTCCATCAAAAATCTTCAATTATCACGGGACTGCAACTCTTGATTTTCCATTTTTAGTTTAAAAAGCAGTGCCCAATCTACCAAGGAAATTCATTTGTGTTGAGCACGGTGGTTCCAAATCCCAAAATGTTATCGGTTGAACTGAAAAAACAGTCTGAGAACTACATGAGCCTCACAATATATAAAAGGGCAAGCGTGAATAATCTGACAAGTAAAAGATGAACAGAGGTGGAATAATATTTGGCAAGTTGCATTTCTCTTTTTCCTTAATG